TGGACTCGATTATGTGTCAGACTGTGCACAGGGAGTGACGATAATTGACTCTAGAAGATCTGCATTTCGCGCGTGGATGACATAAGTTTAATGTCACACAAACTCATAGATTTGAAGGCGAGAAACAACAAACAGGCAGAAGAAGAAGCCAGAGAAGACAGGACTCCAGGTGAACATATAGAAAACAAAGGTGATGAAGATAGTCAACCAACGGCGATAACAATCAACACCAATCATTATCGAAGGGAGGAGGCAGCTTTTCAACTGCAGGCGGAGTGGATAAAGATTCGGAAAGGCAAGACAGACGGTCATCACTCAGTTTGAAAATCTTCTGCACTCACCATAATGAACGAAATTCAGATTTACAACTCAAATGTGAAGTCAGTCACCTGTTCTATATGAGTCAAAAAATTTGCACTGCATTTTATAAAAAGCACTTCCAACAGGCTACTGCAGACCTTCGTCAACAATTGTTCACTTCATTGGCTCCATATTGAAGATCAAATAGCCGGCTGGCCGGTCGGTAGAAAGAATTAGCAATAAGAAACTATGGGAACAAACTAATCAAAAACCTTTCGCTCAACAAACATATAGAAGTAAATGGAGATGTACCGGGCATACGCTGAGGAGACCGCCGAATGACATTGTGTGCCAACCAGGCCAGTGCTCGAGTGGAAACCCAACGGGAAGCGAAGAGTGGGTCGTCAGTGAGTGTGTGTGACATGGAGGAGATCGTGTGAGCAGAAGGATATGAAAGATTAAGGACAGTCGTGGAGCTAGCCAGCTTAAAAGGATGGCAAGAAATAGAACAAAGTGAAGACGTGCTGCTGAATTTCTATATTCCACTAGGAAGCTAAGGGAACAATAATAAATAATCATACGCATTAGGGATCTTCATCTTTCTTACTGGTAAAGATATGCATCCAGAATCCCACATATTATCAAGGTTAAGACTTGCTTGTCCTGTACCGTAATATGAACCACATTTATTATTTGAAAGATAAAAACCCCAACCAGTTTCTCGGGCTTAGATAGGTAGAGCGGGATTCAACCAAAAAAATCCATAGTTTATAAGTCGAGTACTGAAGGTTATGATGAGACACATCTCGAAATCCTACATTTCAGCAGACTAGATGCTGAATGTGCAAATAGAATGTGCTTGTCAGAAGGATTTTATTGGAATAGTCACAAAATTAAATCGTTTCTGTTGACACTTTGGTTTCTTGCATATAGACTAAGAAATGATGGGGATGAAGTATGAATATACCAGACCTTATTGGTGGGTTATTCAGTTCTCGTCGGTGTTTTGACGTTGTTCTGCTTCAGTTCCCACCTGACACACGCCTAAATCTTGCCCAGTTTACTACCTTATAATTACCCTGGAAGAGAGGGAGGGTTACTGTACGGGCTAGCAGTCTCAAGCCGTAAAATCAAGGCTACCGGCACTGTAACATGAAGGCCCGAAGTCCTACGTTTCACTTGGAAATGAATGATAGGAAATTCAGTTCTCAACTGTTTGTATCCAAGTAAGCTATATGTTAGTTGGGGGAGAAAACAGCGGGATGGTTGTTCTGTGAATTTTTAAGGCAAACGTATCTAGTTGTATAACTGGTTGTCAATATTATAATATATTTGTTACGATTATTCCATTCATTGTTCCGAGTGGAGCATAATGTGGCGTGTGCTACTGCTAAGACTAGTCACCTTCGGTCACGGAACAGCTGCATCACCGTTAAGCTGTCAAACTCTGCCACCAATCGTCTAACAAAAACTTCCAGGTCCCCTTCTCACGTGACCTTTCCACACTGTCGTACGCCGTCTTTGGCCGACCTCTCAGCAGCGTGCCCTGCACCACCACCTTTGCCATCTGATCATTAACACACACCAAACCAGCAACGGCCTCAAAGTCCCTCCTCGAAGGCAGCTGGCCATGAGATCTTCACTCTAGCGTGGCTACCTAGCATGGTAGTTCCATTGCAAACTTGACTGATAGAATTTAGTCTGCATCAAAGATAGGACTAGACACACGCATTACGCTAGTTACTGACTAGTGTCCAATCAAAATTATCCAATGCAGTCCTACAGGAGGTCAGTCACCAGCCCGAATAGCTGGCTCAGTGGTAACGTCTCTGACTGAAGCAATCACTGTGTGATGCGAGTTCGAATCTCTGAAAGGGCATGAGTTCCTTTGAGTTTGCACATACGCCTGCCTTGCTGACTGACTTGTGAGTGCCGACTAGCACGAAACTTAGGTCAGGCAAGGCTTCCTACGGATTGCCTCCAAGCATCCAATACAGTTTCAAAGTATTAAATATCTGCATTTATGTGCATTTGACACTAGTATTTGACAAAATAACAATCCAATTGGGCAAATATAACCAGTTTGTGGAATATTTAGTTAATAGTGACAACCGTTTCGTCCAATTTGGAACTTTTCAGATGGAAAAACTTGTGTTCCAGCGAATGGTGGAATTCCAAATGAGAAACGAAGTCAGTACAAATTGTTTCAAACGCCAAGAGTCACAGCAGAAACACCACTACTCACAACAGACATGCAAGTACATCCAGCTAACAAGTCTGAAGCGGGGAAACAACACCTGAGTTACTGACTCTACTGACAACTGTTAACCTCAGAGTTTATTTCAAGCATCTGCAATAAAGATCTCATTGCATTGGCTGGCACTAGTAAGCACAAATACTCGCCAGGGATGACATTCGCTAGTGGTTGCATCAAATCGTTAAATTGGCAGAGATTGGAATTCATGGAACATCCCAGTGGCTTAATAGTCTACAAACTCACTACCTTCCTAATCAGAAGGTCCTGGGTTCGATTTCTGGTGGTGGTTGCGTACTGACAAAGAGCCCTAGACCAGGATGAAACAGCTGTCCAGTACTCCCTCCTGGTTCATGATGAAATCCTGAAAGCAGTGAAATCCCTTCAGTTAGCAGAAGTAAAAATTGATGGGATATTGGATCTCGTCTAATTAGCTACATGGTCAAGGAGATCGCCTCGTAATCTGATTGACCTCTTGAGTTTCAACAAAGAATTTTCACAGAAGTGCGAAAAGATTTCAAACTGCCACAGTCAGTGTAGCACACAAAGAACTATAATGAGCAGTAATGTACTGCAAGAAGAAGCCAAAGTAACGCAAAAAAACATCAGGATTTGATGGAGATCTAATTGAATGCATTAGCACCACTGAGAACGATTTTGACTTTGAGTCATACGTTACCAACACTCTCAAGCTGATGGTTCTTAGTATCTCCAACTCCGTACTTCAACCCAGCAGTCTAAAGAGTGACTTTAGCGCATATCCTCGCCGACTGTAGAGTCTGTAGCTATGGTGCCTGGACAAGGAGTTATGTTTCTTTGCATGCTTTTCGTATGAAATTTTGCATTAAAACTTCTTCTTTTTGGTGTACATATTATCACTGGCATTATGTTCTTGAACTGAGTTACACATTTATCACAATTTTATCAGAAAATGTTGCTTGATACTGATATCTGATCAACATTGTAATGGATCAGAAGCGGCAGTAGGTTCATACGTTAAAGGTAGTAAATTATTGAATTTTCATGAAGTCATGCTGGTGTATTTTGGCCTGAACTAATTTCTAGTTACGGGGTTTTTAATCATTACTAAGCCTCATCGATAAGAGTAAAAAATAGACACCAAAATTACATGACCTTGAAACAACCAATCAGACCGCTCAGCATTACAAATAAACGGTGTTCGACAATAATCAATGCAAGTTCTGTGTGGACAGTAAGTTGATAGGGCGGACTAAAACATGCATATGTGGTGGAGGGACAATGACTTTGCGAAAGTACTACCAGGTTTATTGATTGATATGTATTTAGATACAACTACTGTTAAATGAGAAAGTGTATAAGGGTTGGTAAGTCGTAAATTATGTTGACATTTTAGATACTTTCCTCTCGAAATCGGAAACTCTCTCTCTCTCTTGGTAAAATATGATAAAGAGACACCAACGTCTGGTGTTGAATAACTATCCTATAAAATACATTAGGAATATCACTAAAGGCCAAAAACAAAATAAAAATAATTGTGGAACTAGTGACGATAACTTAAATGAGAGAGTATATAAGTCATCCACTGTAATACCATATAAGGAGGGGACATCTGAGACCCTACGTGGTAGGATTCTTAATAAAGCAGGAATTAGGGTGGTGGCATTCAAACCTACAAACTCACTCAGAGACAAGCTCTGTAGGCTAAAAGACCCAGTGGACCCAATTAAACAAAATAATATAATTTACAAAATACCTTGCAATGACTGTGAAGTCAGTTAGTTACATAGGTCATACTAGTAGGTCAGGGATAGTCAGAACATAAGAATTTAGCTAAGGTTAGAATGATTGATCCCACGAAGATAAGTAATTTAGAAAAAAGCTCAGCAATTGCACTACATGCATTAAGACAAAACCACACAATAGGGTGGGAGAGGGTTAAGATTCTAAGAAGTAATCTATGTAGGTGGAGAAAGAAAGAGGTTGATTACTGAATCTTTGTTCATCCTTGTCTACACCCAACACATGCAACAGAAATGACTCAATGGAAATACCAGAGATATGTATATATGCCTATAGACACTCCTATGAGTTACTAGGACCGATATTTACAGTATATTAGATATATATATGTATATATATACCACTTTTCATCTAGAAGTGCCTGATTGGTTGTTTCAAGGTCGTCTGAAGTTGGTATCGATTTCCATTTTTATTGTTTCATCCCTATTCTAGCCTAACATTTCTCAATGAAGAAGGTGGAATGCATCGTGAACCACCTTGATTTGATCTCATGCTGCTAAAGAGTCCCGAACAAGGACGAAACAACTGTAGACATTCTTCACACACGCACACATACACATAATAAAAGCTCTAGAAAAATGACACACACAAAAATTGAATGATTATAAACGGTGGCAGCGCGAAGAAAGGCAAAAGAGGTGAACACACACACAGGCCTACTCACCTGAAATTTCTTGTGTATGATTTGAAGGCCACATTGACGGTTGTGTATCGTGTATATGTCCTGTAAATAATCCACTTGCTACACTAATTAACTGTTCTTGAGTTGTAATCAATATACGCAGCGCTTGTCGTGATGATGCACCATCAGGTGCAGAAGAAGAGGACAAAAAAATAGAAGGATGAGGTAATTGTGTTGTTGATAAATCTTTTTTATATCTATGCTGTATTCCATTATAATATTCCTGAAATTGTGTAGCAATAGTAGTAGTAGTAAGAGGAGGAGCGGCAGCACCAGGAGCAAGGGGAGACGTAAGTGGCACAGTAATATCCAATTCTTCTTCATCATGCAGATGAAATCGCTTATCGCCTACATGTAACACTTCAAACTGTTGTTGGTGTTGACGGTGTTGTCGAGGATGACGTTGACGTTGATGCTGATGATGATCTATGAGGATGCTTGATTCTCTTTCTGCTGTTGTCCAAATATAACAACCACGTTCAATATTATCCGTATGCTCTAAGACATAAGTCAATAAGACGAAGGCGGGCGGGTAATTGTAGTAATATGAAACACATAAAACTAATCTGAATAGCAATAATAATAACTCTGAACTTCATTCATCAATCGATAAGAGGTATTTTTAACTCGACATTCTCAAAAATCCTTTACAGCATAAGTAAGTATACATCCACGTTTTTGTTCTGATGACGTAATCAATCACAGATGTGTGTGTACTTCCGTTACTCAGACTATTCAAAGGAGAGAATGTCATTAAAGTACACCAGACCAAGTGGGATATTTCCACAGGTTGAGTACTACTCACCAACATATATATTCATTCCTCAATTATCCATAATAATAATAATAATAATAAAACGATTGCCAAGAAATTAATTTATGTATAAAATATATCGTATAGTATATTGTATACCCTCCTACAGAATGAGAGAATGGTAAGCTAATGGAAGTATAAACTGAGGCGCTGTATAAATAAATCGACGCATTGATCGATTCAATATTACTATTATAATTATTTCTCTTTCCTGTTGTTACTAGTATTAGTATTAGTATTATTCGTTTCCTTTACAGTATATATATAGGAAGGTATTATCGATCAATAATTGAGGCAAGGATTGTTTCTTCTTATAGAGCCTATCCCTCTCTCAGTAGTAGTAGTAGTAGATATAGTGAGGATTGATAGACGGACACATGCGTGAATGGATGGATGGCTAGTTGGTTGGAGAGATGGATGGATGGAGAGACGGACAGACAAGTAGAGAGAGAGATATAAAGGCTTTGCTTTGGGAAGCGATTCAATTTTACAGGGATAGAGACTAACTCACCAACTCGCTCACTCACTTACAAACTAGCCAGCTTACTATTGAGCTAATAACCGCATTGGGGAGAATTTTGAGGAGAAAACAGAGTGAGAGAGAGAGATGGGATGAAAAGAGAAGAGTCTTATAATAGGGGATTGGTTGAATTTTCAATATATCTCTATATATATTCCACATTGATTCCAACGTCTCTAGCATACAGACAAAAGAAAACAGAAAAGTCAATTGACGAGACGTTTTAATGGGGTTTTTACTTTGTGAATAGAATTGAACTTGTGCCAGAAAATGAAATAGCAATAATAGCCATAATCGGTCTGGTCAGTCATTATAGTCGAATCAGCTTTTAGAGGCAAGATGGCATAGATATGTTAGGGAATTAGGTAGGCAAGTGGATAGTAGTGAGTGGGGAGGTGGGCTAAACATACATACGGTAAGGTAAATACGCATTCCGGTGATTAGGTTCGATTAGGATTAGATGGGACTAGACTGGACTAGAAGAAAAGATACTGTGTTGAATAACTCCAGTCTATCTAATTGTGTTTATTAAGATGTAGGCGAAGCTTTTGGGAGGGGAATGGGATCCCCATTATTTACTATTATTATTATTGTGTCACACTTGAGATTGTTTGTCATGGCGACAGAAATGTTGACCTCAGGCCTTAATTAATTAATTAGTAATTAAAAATGCAAAGAAAACAAGAAAAAAAACGGTGAAAGAAAAAATCGGGTGAAATGTTTTGATTGAATGCTATTTTGAATAATTGTTTAATTAAAATGTGCTAGTAGGACGCTTGTTTCTAAGGCTATAATTTTATGGAATTGCAGGCACGATAATTTTCAACACCCATGTTAAGTCAGTCAGTTTTTATATGGATATAAAGTAATAATAATTGCACGTCGATGAAAATGGTGAAGTGTTCGCTAACCACATAACAAAACGCAAAATAATTGAGCAAAGAATATCCTTTCCGATAAATTCCTCTTCTGGCTCTACAATTATATAAATGTTTATATACACAGAATATTCTAAATTAGTAGTCAATAACAATATTGGTTTGCTTTTTAAATAAAATCGATTTGTAAAGTATGATCACAATGAAATTACAGTTCATTGAAGATGCCTAAATTATGATGATAATAATAAAGATATAGTAGCGAATAGAATATCAACTAAAATCGGAGAAATTCCATCAAAATTGAGGATCACTCAAACCTAGATGGCCAAGGTAATGATAATGTCTAAACTGACTTCTTTTGGACGCACAAATTAGGCTTCTTAATATGGATCCCAACAGCCAGCCTCAACAGTATTTAGTAGTCCAACTCTTAAGGCAAAATTGAGATTCGTTGGTATGCGGTAAATGACCTTGAAAGCATGGTTAACATCGATCTTGTGTTCTATATCCACAAGATGAGGAAGAATAGCGCTGCGAATAGATTTTGTTTGTCTTTTACTCAACCAACCACTATGCAGGGTGGTGTTTTGAAATTCGACGAGAAACACACCTAATTGTACGGCCTATGCAAGTAACTGGCTCACTGCACAGGAGCAGTTAAATTGGTAAATACACATGGAAGAGGCGAAGTTAGGCAGTTTGTCTTTTACTCCCAAACGCAAAATAGGAGTTGTTTTGAAGACGCAGCGTAATTCGGCAGCAGGGAATGCTATTTTTTACCGCATTTCTAAGGCACTGTGTTAGTATCTCACTGGTGTTGTCCCCAAGGAACTGCATTTGTAATAGGTCAGAATTCAATCCCTGGATGACCCACACCTAATCCTGTTATGGTTAACTAACTGAAAACTTGGGGTTTCATTTCCGACAGAAGCACTCTTAAGTCTCGAGTAGGTGGCGAAAAGCCGAGTAAAGGATTGCTGAGAGTGTTTGGCTTTCAACCAGTGGTACTAAAATTCGCAAATGAAGCTTGACAGTCTGTATTCCAACTGGAAGTTGAAGAATAAACAAAGAGTCAAATTGCAAGTGTTGAATTTGTAGAGAGTTGTTAGATATCAAGAGAGATTCCTTCATGTGAATCAACATCGATTGCTTCGTAAATTAATACACTGTTCGTTAATGACTGACAACAACGCGATAGAATTGCTGAAATTCGTGTGCTGAAAAATCATTACTCTCGAGATCCACGCAGTCAGAGGTGAGGAGAGATACTCGTTGATGACATCAAGTGACAGTGGCGCCATGAGAGGCTATGAAAAGCACAATTACCTCCGGAGGTTAAATCGTGTAGTCCTCACCTCGGAACATGAAGGTCCTAGCTTCTACATCTACTGGGTCATGAATTCAGCTGTCTGGTGGTAACTGGTTCTCTATGGTTCTATAAATCATTTGAGTTAGGGCAGAAAATGAAGTCTGAAATCTAGTGTTGTGCTTCACGCTTTGACAAAATTACTTTTTGTTCCTGTCATGTACTTACTATTTGATAAATATTTTAGTTCTATTTATGTTTCGTATCCGGATGGCGTTAAACGTTCTCCCCTTTTAATTAGTTTCTTCAGAAGAAGTTGGGCTAACCAGGAACAGAAGAAATGGCTTAGTTAGGGAAAGAAAGACCCGGGGAGATGTACAATCCTAGCAAATTAATGAAACTAGATCTGAAACATTATATCTAGTCAAGTTTGGGTTAGGTTAGGTTGGGGAAAGAGCAGAATTGTTTAGAGAGAAACATGAGAGTTACGACTAGGTAAGGGACCCAAATTTGCCTTTTGAAAGTACAGTCATCCTCATGGATCGCTACTTTTTTAACTTTTCCGGAAAAACTAAAGTCTCCGATAGAAAAGATATTTTTCCGGTCATGATGTCTGCATTGGACCGAGAAGAAGACGCTAGAAGATCTGGATTTTGCGCGTGGTTGATATATGTTTAACGCCGCGTAAACTCAAGGATTTATAGGCGGAGACCAACAGACTGGCTGAAGAAACAGGCAACGAATACAGGACTCCACATGAACATAAAGAAGATGGAGGTGATGAAGATAATCAACTAACAGGAACAACAATCACCGGGAATCATCGTCAGCAGGAGAAATGTGAACGAGGTTACCTTCTTCACTGGTTACGAAGCATCGATTCAATTAAAGGTGGAATGGATGAAGATGTCAAAGCAGGCCAGTATCAGAAAGGTAAGGTACACCTCCATCAATCTGAAACCGGTAAGTAAATCTTCTGTACTCAGCCAGCACAAAGAGGAATCGGATTTCCGAAATCAATGTTAAGTCCAACACTTTTCCCAAATAGGTCAAAAACTTGCACTTCGCGTCATTAAATGCATTTCCAACCGGCTAGTGTAGAGTTTTATCAACAACTGCCCACTTCACTGGCTCAATATTGAAGATCACATGGCCGGCCAGAAAGAATAAGCAATAAGAAACTCCAGGAACCAACCAACTAACAAATAGGTGGAAGTAGATCGAGGCGGACTGAGCATACTTTGAGGAGAACGTAGAATGACAACGCGGTATCGCTAGGCCATTGCTCGAGGGGAACCTGAATGGGAAATGATGAATTGTCTTGGTCCTAGAGTGATGTGGAAGAGGTGAGAGACTATGGGCAATCGTTGGCCCAAGTAAAGAAGACAGCAGAAAATAGAACAAAGTGGAAACGAAGCTGTTGAAGCCGTATGTTCTACTCAGAACCCAAGGGAACAATAATAATACATGATATACGCCTAAAAGTAAAACTGTCTTCCTTTTATCAGTCTTATAAAAATAAAATGTCGATTTTCTTAAGATATAAAACCGACACTATAGATTGTGACACATAAACCAGCAACATCCAGTTACAGAATAAATGAAAGTTAGGGATTACTGGACAGCTGTTTCTTTCTCATCCTGTGTAACGGAGACTTCTTAGCGCTTCACCACTTGTCAGCATAATTAAATACGTGACATTGACCGGCCTTTGCGTCAATTACATATCACGAATTGGCAGAAGTTGGAATTTATGGGCCATTGGGTAGTGTCCAAGTGGTTGAATGGTCTTCAAGCTAGCCTTATAAGCGGAAAGTCCTGGGTTCGAACTCCGGTGGGTTTGTACTGTGAAGAGTCCCAAACTAGGACGAAACAGCAGGCTGTCCAGTACTCCTAGCTGACTTTCAATAACCTGATGTCAGTTCATGATAAAATCATGTAAGCAGTTAAATCCCTGCAAACCAATACTTGATAATTGAAAAAAGTTGAATAAATATTTGATCGGATCCTGGATAGACGCCAAGATATGGGTAGCCCAAATTTTGCAGGCCAACCATAGATATCAGGTGTGCGTCGGTAGGGGATCGAACCCCGTGTGGTGAGAGCGGTCTACTAGCCAAGTGGTGGACAGTAATTGAGGTCAATGTTTATGTATCAAATATTAGTCATGTTGTGGTGAGAGATGGTTGCTGGCCAAATTGGTTGACAGTAATTGAGGTCAAAGGTCAAGGTGGACAGGCGGTTACAGTTAACATATAGATGAACTGACACAGCCACAAGAGATGCAAGGTCAACTTTGTGTGAGAAACAACCAATCAACAGACTGTATTTTCTACTAACATTGACCTACAATAATGTACATAAAAATCTACAAATACGTGTTGATTTTTCGTAATAAACGATCTGTTGCCTGGCCCTTGTCTTCTGTTGTTACATTTGGTGTCGCTGCCTACCGACAAATGGAAAGCCTATGCCCTGCAGTTTTTGATGGAGACATATGGATCTTCGCGCAGGACTTCGAGGCTTCTTCGCAGTTGAGTAGCGTTCAAGATCTGTCAGCGATGAGGCTGCTACTTGGAACGCTGCTGGGAGGTCGGGAGAAAGCAGCATATGGAAGTGTGAGGCGAAATACCTACGAATGTGCGACAGGGTCAGGCAAACAGTTTCCAAAGTGGGAAGGATCATATATGGTCACGTTGAGATGGGGTTACGCAGACACAATCGCAATGGCAAACACCGTTAAACAATTGGACATCCGCAAGCGCCGAGATTCCAGGCAGCAAGACAACAGAGCAAAGCCCCAAGAACCGAGAAGACCGAGCCGACTTCAGTCCAAACTATTTGACGGGGGGACGAGTGTGGTGAGAGCGGTCTACTAGCCAAGTGGTGGACAGTAATTGAGGTCAATGTTTATGTATCAAATATTAGTCATGTTGTGGTGAGAGATGGTTGCTGGCCAAATTGGTTGACAGTAATTGAGGTCAAAGGTCAAGGTGGACAGGCGGTTACAGTTAACATATAGATGAACTGACACAGCCACAAGAGATGCAAGGTCAACTTTGTGTGAGAAACAACCAATCAACAGACTGTATTTTCTACTAACATTGACCTACAATAATGTACATAAAAATCTATAAATACGTGTTGATTTTTCGTAATAAACGATCTGTTGCCTGGCCCTTGTCTTCTGTTGTTACACCCGGACCATGTGCATTGCCGGTGAGAGTCCTAGCCACTGTGCCACCGACGCGCAGTTAAAGAATCAACACAGAGTGCTGGATAACTGTTTCATTTTAGTTTGCAGCTGCTCAATACTGCACATCAGTGACTGCACTCACAAGTAATCGAACCCAGGACGTTCAGGTTACAAGACTAGCGTGTTGACTGTTTAACTACGGGATTAAAATCACTATGACTGATGAACTTTAATGTGTGTCTCACTTCGATTCTTGCTTTTCAGAACGCGTCAGTCACAATGGCTTAGTGGTTACGTCTCCAATCGGATTCGAAACTCTATGTTGAAAATTAATCCATTGTTCACCAGTGACTAAATAATGATGTGCTCATCACCTGATCGAAAAGGTTCTCGGTTCGATCCCCACCAGGGATAATCAACCAGTAGTGCTGTTTCTCTCTAGTTTGGAACTTTTCAAAAGTGCGCATGCATGGTCTCCCGCCTGGTGGGACGAACTCAGAACTTCCGTAGAAAACAAACTCAAAACGCATAAAAAGAACAATCAATAATGTGACACATGAAATACACAACATAACAAAAATTCTGTTTTCTTTTAAATTATACATTAAAACGATTAAGGCAGATGTTTGTCTGTCTGTGTGTATATTACCTGTGAGTAGTTCCCGATGTGATGTAAAGTACAGCTCTACACAACCAGTCGATGGGAATAAGGCTTCTGTAAGGAAAAGAGAGAAATCAGTAAAATAAAATAAAATAAAACTTTGAAATTTTGCAGTTCAGCTATATATTCTATATTTTGTAAAAAATTATGAAATTAAGTTTGTTGAAACCTGCAGCTAAGCTGGTTCCCCATCTATCGAACAACTTGCTCATCTTTGGTGCAATCAAACATCGGTAGATATCCTTCTCATGTTAACTCCAACTGTATATTATGCAAATTTACCTGTATCTGCGGGAGCAGTTACATTGGAAGGACAGAAAGAAGAAGGGCATATCTACGATTTTCTGAACATGTACCAAAAAGCTTATTTCTAAAGGGAACAAATGCTTTAAACAGTGCCATCGCTGGGCATCTCCTCGACACGGGTCATGAGGTGGACGTTGCAAAATCGTTCAAAATTATCAATAGGCAAAAGAGCTCAATTCTCCTCATTTTTTGCTGAAGCCATCTCTATCAAGCTCCCGAAACTTGATTTATGCGTTCAGAAAGAAACAGTTATCAGTCTTTCTTTGCCGTGCCTGGTAACTGGATATTTTCATCTCTCTTTCATCTGAATACGTAATGCTGAAAGTTTCCATTGTGTATGATCATTATTGTTCGGAATAGTGTTTAATACTACATATATATATTATTACTGTATGCATATATTGATTGGTTGATTTTTGTTTAAAGTGAACTCTGTGCAAGTATGTTAAAATTGTTTCTGTAAATATACTTTAATAATGACTTTGGCCTGTAAGCAGCTGATGAAAACCCAACGAAATAAACAATTATGGTACCATTTTATTCTGCAAAAACTGCTGTTGTTCTTGCTTTATTCAAGTCCAAATGTATGAAAACCATTTTGATTTTTAAGAGTTGGTTTGTAAGGATTAGATTTGTTTTTCCGAATTTGACCATAGATTGACATCAGTTAGAGAACCATTGAAAACCAGACACAGGTAGTACTGGACAGCCAGCCGTTTCATCCTATTTTGAGAATCATCGGCAGTTATCAAGTTCTCTAACTGATATCAGTTCGTGGTCAAACTCGTATAGACACTTCAAATCCTTACAAACCAAACTATTGAGAATTAATCTGATGCTCGCTAGTGACTTCCTACAGGACGGAGTTTCCTGGAGTTGATTCCAGTGAGAAGTCATGACCAGTGAAGTCCATTCAGTCAAGTGTGTTAATGGATATCCCACCAATGACATCGGTTCGTGGCAGCGCTCAATCACGAATTGGTAGAAGTTAGAATTCATAGACTGGGCAATGAATCATGTCCCATTGGCTGAACAGTATACGAGCTTGCCTTGTAACCAGAAAGTCGTGGGCTCGAACCCTGGCAGTGTGTGCGTACTGCCTATGATTCCCAATCTACTAGAATGAAACAGCTGATAGCAATTTCATATGTCCATTTAGTCGTAAGCATAAACGTGCGCGGACCAGAGCGTGATTGGAGTCTACACACGTGTTCCAAAGGGAGCGGCAGTCTTCCACTGATAGGCAGGTGTACTCCTCATCAGTCCGCTTCATCCTCCTTTATGGCTGTGAGACCTGGTCGTTGAGAGTGGAAGACATGAAACGGCCAGCTAGCTGTCTTTGATCATAGGTGCCTGAGTTCTATCTCCCTTGTCAAGTGGTATAATAGGGTGAGCAATATTAACGTTAGGCGTCGAGTGCTAGGTAAGGAGGGGAAATCAATTGACGAGGCTCTGAAGTTACATCGACTAAGATGGTTAGGACATGTATTACGTATGCCTAGTCATCGCCTTCCTCGACGGGCAATGTTAGCTGACATAGGGTCAGGCTGGAAAAGAGCTAGCGCCTGGTGGTCAAACCAAAATATGGCACAGTTAGTTTAAGCCACGTAGGAAGGTGTAGACTTTCTGACTGGTTGGGGTACTCGGGATGGTAGAAACCAATGGTTGGAAACAACCGGTGCTATGGCTCAAAATCATTCTCAATGGCTAGCGCAGATGCATCATCTCCTTGTGACTTATAATTTCCAATGAAACTATATTGTTCTTTTCTATTCCTTTTGTCTCATATCTCTGTTTCCTATCTCTATTTTGCATTTCTTCTACTTTCTTCTCTTGCTTTGTGTGCTACATGGAGTGTGGCGACTTGAACTGCTGCACATCGGTGCAAAATCCTATGTTGAAAACAGACAGACAGATAGACTCTTAAACTTCTAACATTCATTCAGGGTACATCACGATCAGCAGTCACCTGCCTGACTTGTTGAACACATCGCAAACTTATCTGTTAGAATTCAGTCGTCATCAAAACTTCCAAGACCTACACATATACAACATCAGGTACTCTCTAAAACGCTCAAAATTGACCAACTGATAGATAATGCATTTCTGATTTTATCTAGGGAGTTCTACTAATGTTCAAAGTCAACAGTGTTTTTTTTTCCATTAATTATAGAAAAATGAGCTTTATTCTCCCAGTGTTGTGTCACATGCCATCAAAAAAAAAGAAATATAAGAATATGAACACAAAGAGCAACGTAAATGTAATTTGATTTTCACTGGTTCATTTAGGTAATGAACATAAAAAATTGTGTGTGCATGTATCTGTTTGTATGTGTGTGTATGATGGAAGACACATATGATTTTTAGCTGTCTAGAAAATGCATTTTGAAGAGATTTGACTATGCATTTTATCTACTCAACATGGGAGATATTGTTCATTGGGTTACACATAATCGGCTTTCGAGCAATGGGTAGTGTGTGTGTGTGTGTGAAAGGTGTAATTTGCTTAATTCAGCCTGGTGACTGGGAAGTCACACTAGACGTGATATGCAATAGGCGTGTTTCACAGCCTAGCAGGACCTTGCCTAGTTCACTGGCTCGCTGGTTTACTGGACCGTTCAAAGCTTGGGTGAGGAGGAAGGGCTGGGCGTGGGGCTAGCGACCCTACACAACAAAATTAATCAAACTGCTACAGAAAATTCAAAGCACAAGAAAAACTATTAAAAATGCAGAACATATCAAAAACAAACTTATTCTTCGCTGGGATCGAAGGGGTGAATGATGCTGGCTGGTGAAAGCCAGCCATCTGGAAGACAGTCAGCCGATGCGTCTTCTCTCGATGAAAGTAAGAATAAGAATGGAGACGTCGAATGTTTGTACAGAGTACAAAGCTGGGAAGGCTTCCCAGGTAGCCAAAGAAATGCAAAGATATGGCATACAAGTGTTGGGAATCTGACAAAGCAGATGGAATGAATGTGGACTATTAAAATAGTCAACTGGAGAGTCAATAATCTACTCCAGTCTGCACACCCAGACAACAACCACGAACAGACTGAAACAGTGAGTGGCTGCTGTCATGATGTCACCAGTGACAGCCAAATCCCTAATGCAGTGTGAACCAATTTCATCCAGGATAATGATATCAAAATTCAACTCAAAACCAAGGAAGGGAGGCTACAACTATCCAATGCTACAAACAAGTGGGAACAATAGAAGAAGGAAGACGTTTACTGACAACTTCAAACAGTTTCAGGCAGACCACATATTGCATTATCTGAAAATGTCTAGTTTCTAAGGTAGATAATGGTGACTTCTCACCTCGAACTAGGTATGTGTGCACGTGTGTGTAAGTAAACAGTTTTGCAAATGTGTTTAACAAAAATTTCTGTCACTCACTTTCACAGGCTTCATCTAAGTCAGCTTTGAAAAAGCACAATTTTTCAGCATCAACAGCACATGTGTGAAATTGAGCACTAAATAGAAATAACAGGGAAAGACAGAAAGAGAGAGAAAGAGTGTGTGGATGAGTGAGTGAGTAAGCCAGAGTCCAAGGCAGAAAAGATGCATTTAAAATCTATAAATCTCATCGTTACCTATGCCTGACCGAGTTTCAACAAACAGCTTTATAAAGAGGAATTCTGCTTTGCCCATAAATGCTGCTGTTATTATTACTATTATTCATAACTGTATATATTTGAGTATATTTCAATAAACTTGACTTTGAAAGTTTCAAAAACTTTCAGCTATAAGATCACTCATCACCTGATGAAATAAAAACACTGATCATAAAATCGATTTTTGAAATTTATTTAAGATAATCAAAGTTCAAGTTTGTTCCATTTTACTACCCTTGTCGTTTAAGCTATAACCGCAATAAACGAATAAAAAACCGAGTTTATGCATTCAGAAAGAAACTATCCCTGACCTCACCATATCGTTGCTTAATCATATACTGGTTGGTAGAAGATTGGAGATATATGATCAGAAGTGCTGTTGTACAGTATATTAACGTTTATTGGTTATAATTGTAATTCTGTTTCCTTATCGTCGGAAGAATAAAACAATCATACTGCCCTACCATTTTTTGCTGTTCTGCGTCGATTACTGTGTACAATGTCCTGTCTGTTATAAGCTGAGTCTTCTGAAACTAGAGGTAGGTCCAGGATCTTTGCGATCTGGATATTTGACAGTGAATATATTTCATATTGCTTTAATTATATTTACTTGAGACAAAATAATTTACGCCTCTTTATGCAAGGACTCTTTATATGACTATTTTCATGACGTCTACTCAAGTAAATTATTTAACCCTTACGTAACATATCTTGGCATATTTGTACCTCTCATGAGTCGTTTACAGCTTCCTTTCCTAATTCCAGAATATTCTTGTAGTCATTTCGTATATATTAAGTAATTTAATAATGAACCTTTTTCCATTAGTTGGTTTGTAAAGATTAGATTTGTTTTTACGAGTTCACGGATGGTTATCAGTCAGAGAACCATTGAAAACCAGCTTGGAGTACTGGACAGCCAGCTGTTTCATCCTAGCTTGGGAATCATTGGCAGTACGCACCCACCAACCACCAGTGTTCGAAACCAGTGAGGATGGATGTCCCACTGATGATATCGGTCGGTGGTCGCTCTAAATCACGAATTGTTAGAAGTTAGAATTCATGGAGTGGCCAATGAATCGGGTCCCGGTGGATGAATAATATACGGAATTGCCGTGTAACCTGAAGGTCCTGAGTTCGAACTCCAGATGGGCAGGTATGTACTGGTGAAGAGTCCCAAACTGGGATAAAACAGCTGGCTGTCCAGTACTCTCAGCTGGTTTCCCCATGGTTCTTTAACTGATAACAATAAATGAACCTTTAATTTCTTTCCATTATATTCAAATGTTAGCTTGTAGGGATTTGATTGGTTGGTTACAGGATTTCATCACCAGCTGACATAAGTTAGAGAACCATTGGAAAACCAGCTAGGAGTCCTGAACAACTGTTTCGTCCTAGATTGGGACTCTTCACCAACACGTGTCTGCTGGAACTCGGTTACATAGCTAGCTCGGGGACCATTAAGCCAATTGGATGTGATCCACTGGCAGAGACATGAATTCCATCATCTACCAATACGCGCTATGGAGCGACTGGCATTAGTGGGTGTCATCGTTGGCGAGTATTTGTCCTCACAGTCGACATGCTATTTAGTCATTTGCAATTATTAGTGTTCTCTGAGATGGTTGGTTTAGTTGCGGAGCTTTCGTCAACCCCCCCCCCAGCTGGACAACATCCCCTTTCAGCGCCATATTAAGCATAAAGTGAAATGATTTAAATTTCTTCATAAGTGATATAATTCCGTCTCCCGGTAACCATCTTTACATATGTATTGACCATTTTCTATTGACTTGGATTTTAAACTTTTTGGTCACCTGATTTACTTTTTATTAGTTGGTGTATTTCGTCTATATTAACGTGTTTGTTAATTGCATATTCGTTTGAGTACCAGGCTTCTAGGAATTCCCTGGCACTTTTGGTGCTTCCTCTGTCTAAAATTTCGACATTATCCAAATCATCAAACTGATATCCATAATTGTCTATATGCATTGATACTAAAGAATATATATCGTATCTTTTCATGGCTGATTTGTGTTCTTGGATTCTAATTCAAAGGGGACGCCCACTTTGGCCGATGTAATGCCTATTTAATTATTTAACAATAATGTTCTATACCGCCGTGATCACTAAGTGAAGCATCTGAATATTTATTTTGTATTTAATTGGTGGATGGTGACTAGCAGTGGAATCCAGGATGCGCATTTCGTTCTATTTGGGACTTGTCATCTGGATGCTCCTGCATTTCGCAGTGAGTGATGATGTTCCCAGCACCGAGGCTTGAACCTGGTGCCAGTGGTTTCAGATGCCAAAGCGTGATCCACTAGACCACTTGGTCTATGAGAACCACCTCTTCTGCAACGGGTCATATTAATTATTTAATTCAATTTTAGATTATCCCGTCGATTGATTGGACCGAAGTGCTCTGTCTAACTACTAATTACATGCCCAGACATTGTCGAAGCATCTAAACAAGAAGCCGACATATCAACCTGAATCCGAGAACTTCAGTTCAATCGATCGATTGGAAAATCTAAATATGAATTGAATAATTTATTTTGTATGTTGAAATGTAAGTAGTCTTTAGGTTGTATACAATTTAAAATAACCAACAAAATAAATGAGCCCCTATTATCCATCCCAGTGGCCGAATGGTTGACGGGCCGACCTATTAACCTGAAAGTTCTGAGTTCAATGTTTGATGGTATCACACGTGTGTACTACCGTTAAGACTCCAGAAAAGACAAAACAGCTATCTAGCTCTCCTTGGTATCCACTTCTTCTGTAACTGGTTATTTATTTACAATATTCATCTTTTACTACTTATTTTGTTTTTTAAGTAGTAAAGGTTTTTTCATATAAAAATCCACTGAAAAGGATACATTTCGTTTCAATTCGAGTTCTTTTTCACCAAATAACACTATTCAAGTCAATCAGTCACCCATCAAATACTTTAAAGAAAGAATTTTAACAACGCTTTTTTTCAAACAACAGAACATTATTTCACAGCGGTTAGAAAGGAGAACTGATAGAACTCACCGAAATAGCAATTCTTGAAATTGTGCGGAGAAATTAGGTTGTATGTAACAAGCGATAAGAACATCGCCATGCAAAGGTAGAACTGGTTCAATCGGGAAGATATACCTTTCCACTCGAAGATTTACATTTGGACAGCTACAATAAGTACAGAAGAGAATATATGTTATTACACATATTCTTTCGTTTTAACATAGTTTAGTTAATTTAAGGTCTCCTCAAAATGTGAAGCCCATAATCGTAGATCTACAAGCTATGATATTCATCATTCAGCCACTAGGTCCAAATTCAGTGAATCATGACAATTCTTGCTACAGCTTTACCGTGATTTATTGCCATGGTTTGCAGAGAATGATTCCCAGGCAAATGTAATGTTGCAACCACAGAAGACAAGGGCTAGGCAACAGATAGTTTATTGATTTTTATGTACATTATTGCTAACGTCTTCTGATTTACCCTCTTCCTGCTGAAGGTTATTCTGTACTACTTGTGACTGTTTCTCAGAAAGTTAAGCTATATATCTGCGAACCCTATTTGCAAGCGTTAAGTCTGCTGTGATTGGTTGTTGAGCTCCACAAGGTTAAGCTTTGTTATTGTTTTTCTCACGACCCCGATTCGAGAAGTTAAAATCGATGTAAACTGCTGTCTAGAATTTTTGGTTTGCATCCAGCTCTTGCCACAATGTTAAATATGAGTCGGTTTTTTTATTCCTTTACGTTCCCAGTGGAACATAGGGCTTGAAGCTAGAGCTTTGAAGTTTCAGTAGCAGTGGTCTTACTTTTACGGGGTGGAGGTTGCTAACTTCACTCCCAGTCTTCAGTCTTTACCAGTCTTTTTACTGGCTTGAACCTGGAACCATCTGCGTGGGTGGCGAGCATTCTATCGCTATGCTACCGAAGCGCACGTGAGTCCGTAAAGTAACCATTTTCTCCTCAGTGTTATTCTTGCCTCTATTACTAGTGGAAGAAACTGGGAACGCATCCAATCATTCCTATTAGAATAGAAGTTGCACACTGTGATAGAGTGGAAATAAATTCACTTTATGGAGGATTTACACCTAGTCACTTCGGTCAAATGAATGACCATCAAGAGTTTGCCAGTGAAAAAATGTGCTGGGATTGCAGTCTGTTCGGCGGAGGGGGGAGGCTGGTAGGTGGTATATAGCAGTAGAAACGTATTATATCTAGTCGCGATTATTTCACGTTTACATCCTTGAAGGTTGTAAATGACGACATTAAAAAAGGAGACATCAGTGGAATATAGAATAAAATGTAGCCAATCGATACCTGCAAAATCCTAATTTCCAGTTCAAAAGCATTACAACCTAATTTCTGATCTGATAACATAAAGTTCTAGTATAATCCAGAGATATAACAAGTCTGAGGCATATTTCAGAGCCTGGATACTAGGATAAAGGCATTCACAGTTCACAGACAAATGGTAATTGTCCAGCAGTGGAGATGTTTGATCATTATGTCAGAGATAGCTATTCAGTTTCTATCAACTGAAGTCCCCTTTAAGCTTCATTTCACTGGTAGATAAGTACTCATTTCAAAATAGATTTCGTTACATAACAAAATCAGAAAGACTACCAAGGTTTACTTGGTAGTTGCTTCCTTCCAGTTTTGTGAAGTCTTCAGCGGTGGGATGGATACACCAAGCTCACTGATGACAATAAATATAGTCGAGGTGCTATACCACATCCGAAGAATACTTAGAGTTGCAGCTAAGCAGCCAAGTCAGTTACTAGAAGTTGCTTCCCAAAGATACTGATACTGGACCGTTGAAGGCAATTGTTAGAGTTAGATTTCATGCTGACAATCATTCACCAAAAAGAGCTATCGGCAGTCTTTGAAGAAATCAATATCCTTTCTGAGATAAAGCAGTGATATTCAAGATTTTGATTATTTCGTATCAGTACTGCTAGACGCTGACATATCTTTTTTTTCAAAATTACTTTTTTATAAAATTTTCTTATAAAATTCTCCAAGATTTAAAGGAACAATAGTTTATTACTGTCAGATGGAGGGAATTTGAACTTCTCATCTTTGTTTGACTAGACGCGAAGTGTGAAATAAAAGTAGAATTAGGTTTCAAGGTGGGGAATTATAAGTTAACTGTGGTAGAAAATCTGATTAGTGGAAAATAGCTGAGATATAATCGCCTTCAACAACACAGAAAGAGAAGTATTCTGGAAAATACTTCAACACTATGCCATACCTCAAGTCTTTGTCAACCTCATTCAACAGATGGCTATATGACAGTGCCACGCGTTAGGTGATCCACAACGGGATTATCAGAGAGGCGTTCGAAGTGGAGACAGCAGTAAAACAAGGCTGCCTGCTTATTATCACCAATGATATTTCTAATTGTGGTGAACTTGATTATGCGTCAGACTGTTGGGGGTGAGGAGTCAGAAGTACGGTGGACCAGCGATAAGAAGACTCTAGAAGATCTGGATTTCGCAGATGATATATGTGTAATGTCAAACAAACTCGAAGACCTGCAAGCGAACAAACTCTCTGAGGTGGCTGGCAGCGAAGATAAGACTGCAGGTGAACACATAGAAGACAGAGGTGATGAAGATAACTAACCAACAGCAGCAGCAACAAGAACAACAACAAACAGCACCAATCACCACCAACGGGAGAGAATAAACAGAGGTTACCATATTCACTTATCTCTCCAGGAAACTTCCTTTCAACCACAGGCACTGGTACTGACGAAGATGTCAAAGCTAGCGATCCAGAATCGGAAAGGTAAGATACGCCATCATCAACCTGAAACCACTTTGGAAATCTTCTGTTTTACTCACTTAGCATAAGGAACACGATTTGCATTTTCAACACCAGTGTCAAGTGTGTCCTTCTATACGGGTCAGAAACTTGGCCAGCGTGTCACGAAAAGGATTTCCAACAGGTCACTGCAGAATTTCATCAACAGCTGCCTTCAATGGCTCCATACAGCAGATCAAATGGTCAAAAAGAATAAGCAAAAAGAAACTATCGGAACAAACCAACCAAGAACCGATCGCTCAACAAATATGTAGGAGAAAGTGGAGATAGATCAGGCACACATTAAGGAGGCCGTCGAATGACATCGCATGCCAGGCCCTCGAGTGGAATCCAGATGGGAAGCGAGGAGTGAGTCGTCGGTACGAAGTTGACATTGAGGAGACATCTAAAGAAGGCTTCAGAGAACACAGAGAGAAATTGACATATACTTCTGAAGTCCCATATTTAGCTCGCAGAACCCAAGGGAATGATAACAGTAATAGTACAGGGGATGCACAACAGCAATATAATTTGAGTCAAATAAGCCTCCACGTCAATAGAGTGGAGGATAACCGATAAGAAAAATACAAAAAACAAAACAAAACATTGACAATAATTTCTATTCCACTTACAGAACTCTTGTTGTATGCATTAGATTTAAATTTTGATATATTTTCAAGAATAGACCACATTCACTGTCAACAAATGTTTGAAACGGTCCAAACGCTGAGATTTGTCCAACTGTAGGTTGCTGCTGTTGATAACCTCCGGTGTGTTGTCTGACAGCTGGAGTAAGAAAACCAGCTGTTGCTGTTCCCTCTGGAGGTGAAAATACTTGATCCCATCTACCTGTCCAATCCTCTTCTTCGACAAATATATCCTCCTCCTGATTGTCTGGTAAGTAGTTCCCACGGCTAATGTCAGTGGCATGTTGCATTCGAGCTAGTATATCTTCTGGTTGTGCGTATAACGAGTTTTCATTATTCTCTGCAATTGCTTCAAGTGGTTGACCCAAATATCGTCCACGGGAGGAATCACGATAAACAATGGCGTGCAGATAGACTAGACGATCTTGCAGTATCAAGGCTCCAGTTAGTAAACCAGAAAAATATCCAACATATCTAAAAATGTGTTAGAGTTAGATGATGCTATATAAAAAATTCTATGATTTCATTCTTATCATTAATAACATTAGTTGGTGCGGTCGATTCAGGGAAATAAATATTTTTATTACAGTTATATAACAATATAATATATAATATAATAATAGAAAGTTTTTTACAGAACAATCTCATGCTTGCTAATGACTGCTTAGTGGATGAAATTCCCTGGGGTTCTGGTGAGAAGTCGTGACCACTGGGGTTCATCAGGTTGGGATTGAGGACAAACATTCACCTAAAATCACAAGCCAGTAGAAGTTAGAATTTAAAGGTCGGCCATTAATTTGGGTTCCATTGGTCGAATGTTCCACGAGCTCGCCAGCCTTGCAAAATGAAGTCCTGGGTTTGAGTCCCGGTGAGCGTGTACTGCCGAAGAGTGCACAACTAGTATAAGAATAGGACTTGTGCACTGTGGTGCAGTATAATTCCATTATGGATAAAATTTATTTTGATATAGTCTCACAGTGGTGTTATGCAGTAATATCTATTGATGAAAACCACGTTTCGAGCACAATTTATTACTGCGCATAATAATATCAAGGCACTAGTCACACAAATTTCTAACTTCGTTTATATGATTCCTAAGAGGATGGTTGCGGCGAAGAAAATTTTCTTTTCGACAAAGTCACCGTCAACTAGAAGGCTGTACATTCGTGTATTTATAATAAATAGGTGGGAAAGTTCTAGAATAATTTCCGGTCAAGGGTCAAATTAATAAAATTACAATTAAGAATTAAAATGCCATAATAAACAGGGGGGGCGACGGATAAAACTCAAACAAAGTAGCATCATAATTACTTATCTTCTTGGAGTCAACCATCCTTACCTTAGCTAAATTCTTATGTTCCGACAATCTGACTATCACCAAAGAATGGTTGACCCCGAGAAGATAGGTAATTTAGAAAACTCCTCAGCCAATGGTGTGGGAGACGGTTAAAATTCTAAGAAGCAATATAAGTAGGTGGAGAGAGAGGTTGATTACTGAATCCTTGTTCATCGAATCTACACTCAACACGTACAATAGGAATGACTCATCACTCATACCGGAAATATGGAAAATACTACTACCAAGCAAGTGAAGGGATGAAAAATAATGGAATTGTATACATGAAGTTAGAAAGTTGTGTGATTAATGCCTTGATAGGATTAGGAGCTCGAAACGTGGTAATCAATAAATATTTTTGTTTAACAAAAGCTGTGAGACTTTATCAAAATAAATTTTACCCATAATAGTCTACAACTAGACTAAAGTAACAGCCCTGCAGTACTTCCTGCTATTTTTCAATGGTTCTCTAACTGATATCAATCCGTGATCAAAACTAAAAAGAAATCAATCCCCACAAGTTAACCCCTAAAGAACAAACGTTACTGATATCAGATAAAGTAGGTTAAATTTTCCATGTTCCTCGTTAGCTTTCTAAGTGTGATTAGGCAAAGCAAAATCAAATTTTATTCGTAGCTCGAATTCGGTACATTTGGTGAGATACTGAACATAAAAACGATGTCAACAAGGCTGTCAGAGTTATCTCCCCTTACTTCGATGGATCTTAATTTTACTTTGCAAGTTCGTTTTTTACATTTAGTTGAAGCTTTCAGAATTCACCTGAAGAAGTGTTATCACTGAACTGAACTAAATAAAACCATTCGCTACGTTGTTATGTCTGTGCCTGTTATTAATTACTATAACAGTAATGAACTCGACTGATACGCTAATGCACGTCAATTTGTCCACTGTACCTTCCGATTCACTGAGCCACGCAAATATCAAAAGACAAATGCACTGGCCTGTGACTGCGAGATATTGTATTGTTCTGTACTATGTAGTTTAAGAAACAACACATGCTATTTATACATTTTCTTAACTATATTAAAATCGGCTCACAACCATGAGAATGTATTGTTCTTATTGGCTGGAGGAAATGTCTATCCTGATTGGTTGGTGGTTCGACAAAGATCAAGGTGAGACAAAAGACGATGAATTGATCTCACACACTAAATCACAATATGCGTGAAAAATGATACATTCACAATAGTAAAACTCCATCACAAGATAGATCACATGATTCGTGAGAAAGGATGATATACTACATTTTTGCCAAACCGGCTTGTAAACTGGCAGAGCATTATAAGTGCGTCAGCCGTAAAACTAACTCAGACTTCTCGCGTGACTGGTAAGCATTCTGCATTTGAAACACCGACTCATAAAGGATAGTATACACATATAAATATATATGTATAAACTTGTTTTATTATTATTATTGTTGTTCCCTTGGGTTCCTAGTGGAACATATAGGGCTTCAGTTGCACGCCTCCACTTGTTTTTGTCTTCTGCCGTACTTTTCACTTGCATCCATGTTAATCCATACTGTTTCAACTCCTCTTCACACGATCTCCTCCATGTCACCCTTGGACGTCCCACTCGTCGCTTCCCTTTCAGGTTCCACTCGAGCGATGGCTTGACTCGCGATGTCACCCAGCGGCACCCTCAGAGAGTGTCCAATCCATCTTCACTTTCTCCTGCATATTTGTTGAGCGATTGGTTCTTGTTTTGTTTGTTCCCATAGTCTCTTGTTGGTGATTCTTTCCGGCGGCCATCTGATCTTCAGTATAGAGCGAAGACAGTTGTTGATAAAGGTCTGCAACAGGCTTTTGGAAATATTCTTTGTGACCAGCCGCCAAGTTTCTGATCCGTATAGAGGAACTGACTGACTTGACGTTTGTATTGAAAATCCGAATTTTGTTGTTGATGCAGGCTGAGTGACGAAGATTTCCAGATTGGTTTCAGGTTGATGAATGTGTTTCTCGCCTTCCTGATTCTCGATTTGACATCCTCGTCCATTCCTCCTGTAGTTGAGACAATGCTGCCTAGATAAGTGAATGAAGTAACCTTTTCCAAATCCCTCCCATTGATGGTGATTGGCACTGGATGTTGCTGCTGTTGTTGTTGGTTGTTTATTTTCATAACCTCCGTCTTGTCTATGTTCACCTGCAGTCCTGTCTTTGCTGCTTCTTCGACCAGTTTGTCGGTTTTCGCTTGTAAGTAAGTCTTCGATTTTGTGTGACATCAAACATAAGTCATCCACGCGCGAAATCCAGGTCTTCTAGGTTCTTCACGTCGGTCCAGGATATCCCTGTCTTCTCGTTTCCCACTGTCTGACGCATAATCCAGTCCACCAAAATTAGGAATATCATTGGTGATAATAAGCACCCTTGTCTAACTTCTGTGTTTACTCCAAACGCCTCGCTGAGTTTTCCGTTGTGGATCACTTGACATGTGCCGTTGTCGTACAGCTGTTGAATAAGCTTGATGAATATTTGGAGTACGCCATAGTACTCGAGTAGTTTCCAAATTAATTCGCGGTCAATGCTGTCAAAGGCCTTCTCAAAGTCTATAAAGTTGAGGTTGAGGTTTGATTGCTATTCCATGCTTTGTTCGATGATGATGCGCAGAGTTGCAATTTGGTCAGAACATGATTTGCCTTTCCTGAATCCAGCTTGTTCTGGTTGGAGTTCTGTATGCAGTGCGTTACAGGATTTCATCATGAACTGAAATCGGTTTGAGAACCATTGGAAAACCTCGGCGTACCGGACAGCTGTTTTCAATGGTTCTCAAACCCATATCGAAATTATCCACCATTGCAATGCTTTTTTTAGATAGGCCAAGGATATTTCAACAGAATTTTTATGAGATCCCCTTATAGGATCCACTAGTCCAGAAGAACATTTGACTTCATAATGAATATAGCCTGATGATAATAGTTGGGAATAATCTTTCCACTCGTCTGTGTGGATGATAGTGCCCGTGAGGACTCGTCGTTCTTTGTATTATTGGCATTAAAACTTTGCCATTTCTATTTGAGCTGCATTCTACTAACTCCCTCCGAAGATTTGTATCGCACCTAAACATGGTGCTCTTGCTCTTCATTTTTCGTTTAATAAGTATTGTTTCGTCAATATGAACTTTGACGTCAATTCCTACAAGGTGCAAAGTAATTCCATTGATCTTTTTATGAGGCAATATATCCACAGTGCTGCTGATACTGTGGTGAGAGCTGTCTACTAGCCAAAATTGGAGACAACAACTGACGTCAATGTTTACGTCCCGTATTGGGGTCATGAGAAAAAAGCACAATAACAAAGCCTAACCTTGAGGTGCTCAACAAACAATCACAGCAGAATTAACGTGTTCAAATATGATTCGCAGATATATGGCTTAACTCTATAAGCAAAAGTCACAAGCAGTACAGAATAACCTTGAGCAAGAGAGCAACCAATCAGAAGACATTACTTCTCAGCTAGCAAAAACGCTAATAATTGTGTACATAAAAATCTATAAATATCTGTTGTTTTACTCAATAAACGATCTGTTGCCTGACCTTTGTCTTCTGACGTTACAATACTAGTATTCTCTGTTTCCACAGCTGTAGCAGATATTGGTCGTCCGTGAACAATCACCCTAATATACAAATCACCAACAACTTCTACAGGCTTCCTGCTATGACAGTCAATGCATCAATAGTCATTATCCCCCCACCAAATCTGCATGTTTTAGTCTTCCCTATCACCACCCATTTTCTACATAGAAGTTGTAAATGAATGCTCGCACCAGCAAGTACAAAAACTCAACCATACCCTACTTAGCTCGTGTTCTCTGCGATAAAGAAAGCATTAGGCGTGACAGCTACAATTAATTAAATAGTCAGTAGAACAACTGGATCTCGTCTCTCCAACTCATATCATTTATAGGTACAACATTTTCTTTCTTTCTTTTCCCATTCTCTCTCTCTGTTTTTCCGTTATGTGCTGCTTTGTTACTTTCTTCCACTTACGCCAGTAAATATGACAGCTCCTACTTTTCTAACACCTTCAAACACTGTTCAACTTTGGCTTTGCTACCAACATGCCAATATGTTGTTGTCATAATGAACTGAGATTTCCTTAATCTATGCAAAATTTTATTT